GGGCTGGACTAGATGGCCTTTCCCATCCATTCCAGTTTTAAATCTAGGATCTCTTGATTTGCCTACACAGCCAGAGTGATCCTGCACCCAGGCAGGCTCCAAGCTTTTCTCATCCAAGTTTACTCTGCTGGCTTTCCGTTTGGCTTCTGTGGTCACTTCCTCATGTCTCTGAGTCCTGGTTAGCTAATTGTTGATTTAGAAGTTGCATCGGACTGGCAGGGGAGGACAATCGTGACTCTTTCATGGGTAATTTTAGCTTAGGTGTTGTGTTCTTTTTTTGTTGTTTCTTTGTTTTTTGGAAGCAGTTGGTTAAGTGACTTGCCCAGGGTCACACAGCTGGTAAGTGGCTGAGGTCATATTTGAACTCAGTCCTCCAGACTCCAGTGCTCTATCCACTGCACCGTCCAGCTGCCTCTTTGTTCTTAATGTTGTTTTGTTTTGTTTTGTTTTGTTTTTCCAGTCCGAGAACCCCCTTTGACAGGCAGTCTGGTAAAACCTAAAGACTCTCCAGTCATCTTTTTAAATGGATAAAATAAAATGCATTGGATTACAAAGGACATCGATTCTAGTGAAATATAGTTGTCAGAATAATTTATAAAAACAAGTTCACAGACACCGCCCCCTCCAGCCAGGTCTACAAGGTCCAAGGTTTATGGGAGCAGTTTCATCCTAACAATACTATAAGCTAGACAGAGCACGTATCATCTCCCCCTTCTTTCAGATCTATAAATACAGACGCTTTCAGTATAGAAGCCAGCAAGGCTTACTTATCGCCCTCATCTTTCAGTTGAGAAGGGAGGTGACTTGGTCCTAGGCCCTGGGCTGGGATTAGAGCCCCGCTGAGGATGGATGGTGTGGGTCCAGCTCCCCAGGGCTCCCCGGGCTCTGTTAGCAGGGAGTCTGTAAGCAGGAGGTCGGAAGCAGCCTGGCCACTTGCCAGGAGGTGAGGCAGGAGCTGGGGGTGGCCTTTGAAGTCGTTCCTCTGAGCCTCCTGCCCTGGAGACTCTCAGCTACCCCCTTCCCTTTCACTTACTCTCAGGAACCTATAAAACCATCATTATCCTCAATTAATAGCAGAGGGCCCACAGGGAACTGCCCTCCGTACAAAACCACAGACCATGAAACTTGCCTCAAGTTCTAAAAGGTGTTTTATAGCAGGTTGCTCCTCTGTCTCTCCCTAGCCCCAACCCACCCACCCCACCCTCCTTTTTTTAAAATTAAGAATACCTCAGTGACTCAGAAAAGCCTGGTGGCTCCCACCTTCAACTTAGAATGGCTTTTTACAGAAGGAAGAAAAAAAAAAAGGTTCTGAGTCGGAGCAGAGAGGTTTCCCAGGGAGCCCCCGCAGGCCCTGAAACCCACCCTCCTGGTTGACTGGTGAGCTTGGCCCCATCAGGAGGCATAGAAAATACTTTCTCCTTAGGAGTGAAATTCCCACAGAGATACCTGGAAAGAGATCTAAGCCAGTACATCTCCCTGCAGGACTGATGTCTTCTCCTGGGGCTGCTGCCAACGCTCCGGGTGCTGTCTCTCTCCACACCCCACTCCCAGAGTGGTGTGGCTGCCTGGGAATTAGGAGACCTGGATTCCGTTCTGCTTTGCCACCAACCCTCCCCCACCTAACATTCTGCTCTAACATTCTGTATTCTGTGTGTTCTAAGTAGTTGTGGTCTGAGATGACTTCTAGCCCTGACATTCCATGTTCTAAAGGTCCCTCCAGCCCCTGACGTTCTGTGTTCTAAGGGTCCCTCCAGCCCTGACATTGGGTTCCAAAGTCCCTTCCAGCTCTGGCGTTCTGATTTCTAAGGGCCATTCCAGACATTCTGGGCTCTGAGGGTCCTTCCAGCAGACTTGTTCCAATGAGTCCTGTCCTCTATGTTCTAAGCACCCCCCCCAACCCCATTCAATATTTTTGGCTCCAAAGTTCTTTCTGTCACTGACGTTCTTAGGTTTATCCTTTAGTGGTCTAATTGTCCACAGTGTGACCTTGGGTCAGTCCCTTCCCTTCTTCTAGAGCTTAGTTTCTGGCTGAGGATCATGAACCTTCTCCAAGCTTTGAATAATAGGGGTAGGAGGGGAGCATTAATATAGCCCCCACTGTGTGTCAGGCACTGTGCTGAAAGTCTTAGCTCATGTATATCTGTCTTCTAGAATGTCAGAGCTGGACATTAGCAGAGACTAGATTCTGATCAGTCCACATGTGATTGATTATTCTCTGTCCCAGGCACTCATGTGCTAACAATGACACGGAATATCAGAGCTAGAAGGGGCCTTAGTGATCCCCCTTCACCATCTTACAGAAGGGGAAACTGAGGCTGGAGGGGCCTCGGAGGAGTTGGTGAAGGTTGGCAAGTTGGAGGGGCTGGAATCAGAGACTCCTGGAAGCTATCAGGAACCCTGGAGACAATCTTAGTCCAAGCCCTTTATCTCGTGGCAAACAAGTCCATCCCAGGCCTCTCCTCCCAGCTGCCTGGGTGCAGCTGCAGACCTGTCCCAACCAGTCCAGTCCTATACATTCTTTGCTTTGTTTTCACCCCCAGCAATATAGTATTTTTAGCAACTGCTAAGAATCTTACCTTTTTTTTCCCCTGGAGGCAATTCCAAATACTATCATAAGGCCCCAGAGCTCTAAAGCTATGAGTAGGCGTGCCTCCAAGGGGTTGACCTTTCCTCCAGGCGCCCCACCCCACCTGCAGCCTCTCCAGGAAGCAGGTCTTTCATCTCCTAGGGATTGGAGGAGTCTAATTAGGGGACCAAGCAGGCCCCTTCTGACTCCTCCCATTTTTTGATTTTGTGACTCCGTGGTGGCAGTACAAAGAATCCTGGATTTGGAATCAGAAGAACTGGATTTGAATTTTTGCTGACCTCAAGACCTTGCCCTTTCCTGGGCCTCAGTTTCCCCAGGCGTTAAGTGAGGAAATAGAACTATAGATGTCTTCCAAGGTTCCTTCCAACTCCAGACCCCGTAATCTCAACGTGGGACGGAGCCTGAACCAGGGAGTTTGGGCCCTGACTTTGGTGCCTGAGTCATTCTAGGGCTGGTGGACATAGGATTTGTCTTGGCTTGTACTCTTTCTGTGGTCTTTTTAGCCTTATTGTACTTTGTTAGGTTTTTCCAGAGGACCCCAGGCCTCTGCTTACAGCCCACAAACCTATACACACCAACTCAGGTTTCAGCAAAGGTCTGTGAAATGTGGGGGGGATTCAGAGTTTGGCTGAGACCACCTCCAGGAGGGCAGGGATGCTATGGTCTTAACTGGGAGATAAGCAGGGGTGTGCTGGTGGTAAATGTTTAACCACTGGTTGGGGGGAGGGGGAGGGTGGAAATTATACACACTTTTAAGTTTAATCTGCCTCATTTAGATTTTCTCTATCACTTTGTTAAGTCTAGACAATCAACAAATAAATTCTTTGAGCCCAGATCTTGTAGCCTTTTACAGACTTCCCCCCCAAGTATAAACATTCATGTTGAAAATTTAACAATCAGCTCTTGTGATAAGACATAAACATAGATAAATGCTTATTCTCTCCCTTCCCTCCCTATCATTCTATGAAGAATGTTTGGTGATGTCTGAGAAGGAGGAGAAAGGACATTCTTGGTAGCATATGCAGATTGTTTTTGAAGGATGTGGCATTTGAGTTGATTGGAATTCAACAGGGGCATTCCAGGCCTAGAGACACTGTGCAGAGGCATGGTGGTTGCATGCAAAGGTTGGAGGGACAAGGTTGTCTGTTTTGGCTGGTTCGGAGTAAATGCATTTATTAAGCACCTACTGTGTGCTTGGCACTTGGGATGAACCAACAAAAGGGAGACAATCCCTGCCCTCTTGGGGCTTACTTTCGATCAGAAAAGACAGGCAGTGCAAAATAAGAACACTATAATTATTAAAAAACCAAGAAAGACCATCTTTGTTTTATCCAAGGAACTATCTCTTGGTTGGGTTCATTTTGGTATGTCCACAGGCATTCAGCTTGGGACTGTTCTCCAAAGTCCACATAGGAAGGCCCTGAATATAGTTTGGCAAATGGGGTGGGTAAAATTGGACTGCAAACCTTGTTGGGGATTAAATGAGTAATAATATCTGGTGAGGTCAGTAGACAGAGGAAGAAGAGGAGGGAGGAAAACAGGATTTTCAATTCTGAGGTCTAGCTTCCCTCCTTAACTTCCCTAGCTGCTTTCTCCAAAATCTTAGAGTTGGAAGGAACCTTACAGATCATCTGGTCCAACCTCCCTTTTTACAGATGAGGAAACTGAGGCCCAGAGAGATGAAGTGGTTTGCTTGATTATATATAGGTAGTAATTTTTTTTCAGTTAATAAAAATGCATTTTTCTCTCCCTCCCCTATTGGAAAAAAGAAAAAGAAAATTCTTCCAACAAATATGCATAGTCAAGTTCGTGTCCCAAAAATATACATCTCATTTCTGTATCCCAAGTCCATCGCTTCCATCAAAGGTGGGTCTCATGCTTTATCATCAACTCATCGTGGCTGGCCATTGCTTTGACCAGAGTTGTTACCTTTACAATGTTGTTGTTATTGCATTTATTATTCTTCTGGTTCTGCTTATGTCACTATGCATCAGTTTTGTATAAGTCTTCCTGAGTTTCTCTGGGAAGTCTTCCTTTCATCATTGAACAAGCATTCATTTAGCACCTACTTTATGCTATGTACTGGGAATACAAAGATAAAATCAAAAATAAAAAAGCATTTATTAGTCACCAGCACTGAGGCTACAAAGACCAAATGAAACAAACCCTGCCCTCAAAGAATTTACAGTCTATTGGAGGAGACACAGTGTGTGTGTGTGTGTGTGTGTGTGTGTGTAAGGCACTAGCGGCTGAAGAAAAGGACATTCCCCCTTCTGAGAAGGCATTCTTTCACAGAGAAGGAAGTGTATAAACTGAGCCTTAAAGGAGGAGGAAGGTTTTAGCCTCTGTGAATGACGGTTGCTCATTTTGCATTCATCCTCTGAATGGCCCTTCCTTTCTCCTTCCCCTGCAGAGCCACTGAGGAGTGAGCCCAGGAGTCAGGAGGAGCTGGTCTTCTCAAGTGGGGAGAGCATCGAGCTTGGATGTGAGGCCCAAGACTCGTCCATGCTGGCCTGGTTCAAGGATGGCATGGCGATCTTACCCACCAACAGGACCCACGTCGGGCCCGACCTGCTAAAGATCATCAATGTGTCTTATGATGACTCTGGTGTCTACACCTGCCAGCAGAAGCATTCCAGCGAGGTTCTCTGCAACTTTACCATCCGAGTGACCGGTGAGTGAGTCAGCCTCAGCCCTTTTGGGGGCTCCCATGTTCCCCTGCCCATCTGGGGCCTCCTGCCCCTACAGGGCTATGTGTCTCATGGGGGCTTCAAGGGAGGAGGTTCTGGTCATCTTGTCTTCAGAGAAGGCTAAAGCTGGGCCCCAGTCCCCCCTCCATCAACAACTGGCTTAATGACCTTGAGCAAGCCAGTGTCAGAGCTGGGAGGGGCCTCAGAGGGCATCCAGAATACAGGGGCCTAGACATGTGGTAGCCATGTAACTTCTTCTTGGAGGACTTTCCTCCACCCCCTCATGCTCGCAACGGGAAGCCTACTCCCCTGAGGCATTCCCATCTACTTTGAACCACTCTGACTTTCTGTTCAGCCCAAAAATGCTTCTTCCACTTACCCATACTCTTAGTTCCATCTGTCTTTGAGGAAAGGGCCTATAGTAAGGGTGGCGATGAGCATTTATGAATGTTCTCCAGACGTTGTGCTAAACCCTTTACAATTATCATCTCACAACCCCGAGTGGTAGGTACCATTCATTATTAGCCCCATTTTACAGTTGAGAAAACTGAGGCAAACTGTCAAGTGACTTGCCCAGGGTCACATGGCAAGGAAGTATTTGAGGCAGGATTCTAACCAGGGGCTTCTTGATTCCAAATCCACAGCTCCCCCGAGCGGCCTCAGGTCGTGCATGGTTGAGCCTGGACATTAATCCAAACTGGGCCTTGGACTCCAAATCCATGGCCCTGTTTCCCTATACCACATTACCTCATTTTCATTTGAATACAATCATCATTACATCTCATGCCTTCTCTAGATATAATACCCTCATCCCACCTCTGAATCCCAATTTCCTCATCTAGTAAATGGAAATAATCGTTATTATGATTACATGAATTACACTGTTATGATGCATGAACCCACAGAGTCATAAACACATGAATCATGATCTATTTATGCTTTAAAGCTTGAGAGAGTGTTTTCCCCACAGTGTGAGGTAAGTAGGTGTTAGCCCCATTTCACAGATGAGGAGACTGAGATTTGCCTCGGGTCACAAAACTAGCTATAGCTGAGCTGAGATTTAAACTCTGGTCTCCTAACCCCAATTCTCAGAACTCTTTTTTTTTTCCTACTGCTTTTGTCCCCTCCTTCTTCGTGGAATTGTTGATGATAAGTAAAAGAATGTAGATGAAAAGTGGTTTTTAAAAGTGCTCTAAGTTGGTATTAATAATTACTTCAGAGGGAGGACCTCACTCAGAGTCCAGAGCTCTGGGTTCTTGGTTCAGTAGGCAGTGCTGTATGACTTTGGGCTTGTAGACATAACCAGCCTCAGTTTCTTCAGTTGTCAAATGAGGATAGTAATGCCTATCGGGCCTCCTTTACCAGGGGTATTTGTAATGAGAAAATGGGCTATGCTTTCTAAAAATGTAAGAGATTACTCAGCAGGGCCCCCTGAACAATAGAGATGCCTGGGGAGTGGATTTGTGGTTGATGGAGAAGTTCATTAAACAAGTGTTACCTGAAGAGATTAGCGCCTGTGGGCTCAGAGCTCCGCATGGAGCTCCCTGCGAAGGCCTGGCCAGACATTTCAAGGTTACATCAATTAAATGGTTGAGAGAGGAGTTAGATTTCCCCAGACTTGGGCCATGTTAACTTCTGAAATTGGGTAGGAATCACTGTGGTTTCTTCCTACCAAGTCTTAAGAAAAGAAATCTTCCCTTGCAAGCTAAGGATTTCGCATGCATGGTTACTACTACGTCGTTGTCCCGCAAAAGACTGTATCTCATTGATAGTTATAGGATATCTGAGCTTGGAAGGACCTTAGTGCAGAGAGTGTTGGAGCTAGAAGGTTCCTTAGAGATCAGCTTTATCCAATCACCCCATTTTACAGAGAGAAACTGAGGCTCTGATTGGGGGAAGGGGGACTTGCCCAAAGTCAGTGTCAAGAAAGTTAGAATGTGTTCTTACATCCCCTTCACTGATGAATACATCACTTCCTTACCCACTGAGCCATTCCTGGGAATAAAGAATGAGGGAAAAAAAAGTGAGTAAATAGAAATTGCTTTAGCAGAATCAACCAATTGTCACCTACTTGTTCCTGGTACGTGCCCAGTGAAGTTTCCCAGGCTATGCCAAATGAGAGGTGGATTCTTGTGAAACCCCAAGAAACCGAAAGCATCCCAGCATCCCTCCAAGCGTTCCTGTCCCCTGGCCCTGCGGCTTCTCCCCTTACCTGATAACATAACCAGAAGCCTCTGTGGTTCAGTTCCGTTCTGCCCATAGATTAAAAATCCCATCTGTTCCCAACCCATCCTTGCCCACATCTGTTTTGCATCGAGCTCCCTGCGAAGGCCTGGCCAGACATTTCAAGGTTACATCAATTAAATGGTTAAGAGAGGAATTAGATTCCCCCGGGGCCATTTAACTTGGCACAGTTATTAAGACAGGACAGCCTCAGGACGTGTCCAGGGAGGGGTGGGCTAGGAGAGGTGTCTATCCCTTTGGGGAAGACTGCCTGACAGGCTCTGGCCTCAAAGATGATTACCATCACCTAACCTCAGGGCTTCATGGGGTCTCCATGGGCTTCTAGGTCAACAGAGTAAATGGTTTGTACTGCCTGAATTTGAAGCCCTCCTGTGACAGGGAGCTCATTACCTTTGATAGGACAGCTCATATTGTTGGGGGGAGGGACTGCATTAAGAGGAAGAGTGTCTCAGTGAGGACATGCCTGGGGGAAGCAGCCAGCCAACCTGAGGGCTGGTAAAGTGAAAATTTTTAAGGAACCCTGTCTCCTTTCTTCCACTACTCCCCTCCCTGGACTCCCTCCACCTCCATTCCAGCCCTGGCCCCCCCCTCCCCCCTTCCACCCCTCCACCCCCATGGCTAATAATAACCCCAACATAAATAGGTAATTTGAGCTTCTTTCCTGGTGGTCCTGGCTCACGGCTCTCCATCCCTCCCCCCCCATTTGATTCTGCCCAGTTCTCTGTCCTGTGCCAGGGCTGTAGTTAGAGCAAGGGAAGGAGCTCCAGAGGGGCCCCCAGCAGTAGCACAGGAATTGGGAGGCTATCACTTCAGGGAGAGCCTGCCCACAACCTCCCCCCATCTTCTGTTTGGGTGCCCTTAACCTATACCCCAACATTGCCCAGAGGAAAGGGTATCAGACTTGGGGTGAGGAGACGCCTGTATACAGCGAGGCTCTGCCACTGACTTATGGCAGGCAAAGTCTTATCCTTTTCTATACTTCAGTTTCCCCATCTGTAAAACGAGGGTAGTATCAACAGCCTAGCGTGTTTCCCAGGGATCATAATGACCAGGAACCGTGTGATAATAGCTGCAGAGAGCAGCAAGGTAGCATGGTAGATAGAGCACTGAATTGGGAGCCAGAGAACCTGGGTTTAAATTTTGGCTTTGCTGCTTGCTACCTATGTGACCATAGCAAATCTAGGTCTCATTTTCCTCATCTGTAAAATGAGGACTTGCACTCAAAGACCTCCAAGGTCCCTTTTGGCTCTAACTCTTCTGTCCCTTACTTTAAATCTAGATTTATAGCCCTCTGGTCCTAAATATATTTTAACAAAAAGATGCCCCCAAGTCCACCCAGGAAATGTAAGATGGCCAAGAGGGGGCTTCCCAGGACACCCTGGGTGGTAGGGATGTTCTAGGAGTGGTTTATGGAAGCTCCTGGATAAGAGAAACACAGGCTGAGAGCGAGGAGGTAGACTGTAATCTGCATGCTCCTGATGTTGGCCCAGCAAGATCACAGGTGCCCTCGCCCTCTGGAAATCACAGCCAAGGCAGCGGTGGTCTTGGGGAAGCCGAGGAAAGTGCCAGGTTCCCTGGGGCCTCTTGTAGCCCTCCGGCTCAAGTATCGTGTTTCTTCCCACTTGACCCAAGGCAGGAGCAGTGGCTGGTTTTGAAATGTCTTCTGACCCGTTAGAGCACGACGTGAATAAGGCCACAGTCACGGGTCCAGACGCCCACTGTTGGCTTTACTCTCTGATGTTGACCCGACCAGAGAGTGTCTAGACCAGAGGTGTCAAACAGAAACAGGGGGCCACTGAATGGTACATGCAGATCCCTGCAGACTGCACACGGACTAGGATTTAAAATGTGGTATTATCTGTTTTATTGAATTTCTACTGATTTTGTTAAATGTTTGCCAATTCCATTTTAACCGGTCTGAGTCACATTCAGGTGTGTTGTAGGCCACGTTGGGTAAGATCTTTGGTTGACGCTTCTGGTCTAGAGGATGGGGTGAGGGTGTGAATGGCTTACTAACGCTCATCCCCACGGTTGGAGACAGTGCAAAGTCCCTCTTCTCCCAATGGGAGTAAAAGGAGTATGTCATCTTGGTAGAAGGGTAGCACATTTATCACTCACTGAGCAGGGGCTCAGTGCCCACCTGTCCTGTAGACTTGGCATTGGCAAGGTGGGGAGAGGGGGCTTTTCCCATGATCCTGAGCATGGGGATGTTCCCCTATTGTCTGGGGAATACACGCCTGTCATAATGGCTCATAGCATTTAGAGTCAAAAGGGAGCTTCCAGGTGACCCTCAGAAGTGCACGGCACATAGTAGGTGCTTAATGAATGTTGGTTGATTGACTGAAGTGACTTGCCCAAGGTCACACAGATAGTAAATAGAGGGGTGACTCAAAGCCAAGTGCTCTCCCTCCAATTCTGGTCTCCTGTTTAGTACACGGCCTGCCTGAGCAGAGAGGATGAGCCCAGAGAGGACCCGGTCTGCAAAGAACAACAAGACAGGTTCTCCTCTAGCGCCAGAAATGACAGACCCCACCTCAGGCGAGGTGCTGGGGGGAGGGCGGTGAATCGGGGAGGGGGTTCTTGAAGCTAAAGTCAATTGACTTTACTGTGCTTCCCTCCTCACCTGCCAGACTTCTGGGGCTGATGACTAGGGTTGGCTGTGTCTCCTCTCAACACCCTCTGGACCCTGTCATCCCCAATCCTAGTTGGGACAGGCCTGCAGGGATTCAGGCAGGGCCCACTAACCCCTGGCCCTAGGGGTTGGTTAATCTGAGCCCTTGGCACGGGGGCCTGTGCCCTGACTGAAAAGCCGTGGCTTGGGAAGACCATAAACTTAGGGCTTACAGGGCTCTCCCTCCAAGCCCCTTATTTTGCAGAGGTCCAGAAAAGTTAAATAACTTGCCCAGAATTGCCGAGGTGGTACCTGGCAGGATGAGAGGGCTTCTGACTCAAAATCCAGCCCTCCTTTCCACTGATCCACTATGTCCTTTATAATTTATGGCAGCCCCGGTGCAAGGAAGAGAGAGCTGATCTTAAAGTCAGGAGATCTGGGTTCGAGTCCTGACTCTGACACTTATTAGCTGTGTGACCATGAGCAAATAATTTCCCGCATCTGAGACTCAGTTTCTTCGTCTGTAAAGTGGGGATAATGGTACTGCCTGTCTTATAGGATTATTATGGTGGGGAAAGTACTGTAACAACTTTAGAGTGCTCTTAAAACTTCACTGACTACTATTATTTTTATCGATGATTTTTTTGGTTTGTTTGTTTGTTAAGCATTTGTAGATCTCCTGTTGTGTTCTGGAGACCAGGTTTAGATAAGACAGGAGCCCTGCCCTCAGAGCTTACGTGGATAACTGTAGTTCACAGTTCCACAGGACAGGGCAGTAGAGAGAAACAAGCAGAGGGAAGCTTGTTTGCAGGGTGGGTGGGCTTCCTGGAGGAAGTAACCGTTTTGAGCTGGGACCAGAAGAGATTGGCCAAGAGAAGAAAGGAAAGGAGGAAGGCACCTGAGGCACAGGCTAGGGGAGGTACAGAGGCCCAGTAAATTCACTGCATAGAGAGTTATTCCAGTTTGGGGCTGGAGCACAGTATGTGTGGCAGGGAGAACTCTTTTCACTAGGCTGTGGTGGGCTTCAAATGCTGGAGAGGCAGTTGGGAGCCATGGAAGATTTTTAAGCAAAGTAGTCACGTTGTCAGATAAGAAAGTGGTAAGATAAATGGAGGAGACCAAAAACAAGCAGACGTGTTAAATTAAAGCAATTTTAATTATTTGTGTTCCCCACATCTCAAGAAAGACTGCCATTTTGGGGGGCAGCTAGGTGGCACAGTGGAAAGAGCACTGGCCCTGAAGTCAGGAGGACCTGAGTTCAAATCCGGCCTCAGACCAAACACTTGACACTTACTAGCTGTGTGACCCTGGGCAAGTCACTTAACCCCAGTTGCCTGAAAGAAAAGAAAGACTGCCATTTTGAAAGTGTAAAGGACGCCACATAGACAAGAGTCCTTTTATCTGCCTAGGGACTTTCTGTTCATAATAACACTGAAGGCTTTCAAAGCACAGTATGCATCTTTACCCATCATTCCTAACAGCCATCCAGCAATGGAAGGGACCTGCATTGTGAACACTGAGCCCTCCATCCCAGGAAGTATCTAAGCAGAGGCTGAGTGAACACACCCACACCCACTTCTTTCCCTCCCTTTGTAAAGGTCTACAAGGGATTCCTGCCCTTACAAGGAGGCTGGTCTGTGTGTTCCCTCAGACACTCAGATTCTGTCAGTGACCTTGTCCAAGACTCCTATTTTCTGGGTATTCGGAGTTGAGACCATGCTTCTGGTTGGCCAGATAAGGGGTTACTTTCTGATAGTGAGGACTTGATATGCACACGAGCAAGAGGTGGGTGTGAAGTTTATTTGTTGGTTTGAGAATAGCTTGTAGCCCTGGCTAATCCAGGCTAGATGCCCTCTCAGACCTGGAGTGATGGATGCTCTTTCTTTCCCCATTCCTTCTTCCCCACCTTTTTCTATTTTCCAAGAGTCTCCATCCTCTGGTGATGATGAAGATGATGAGGATGAAGGAGAAGACACAGGTAAGGGCTTGAGGGTACTTTTTTTCTCTTTTTGGGGGGTGGGGGAGGCAGTGGGTGCTTTATTCAGATGGAGGTTGCAAGGTGGGGTTACACATTCACTCTGAAAGCAGTCTCTCTGGCCTTGTCATTCCTTGGGGATGCTTGGAAAGGCTCCTTAATTTGCTGAAGGGAGCAAAACATGATTATTCAACCAGATGCATCTTTAATTTCTGCCTGTGGGCTTTCTCTAGACCTGGGGCCTAGCTGACCCATCAGAGGGCTTGGATCGCCTGCCCCAGGTGGGAAGAAATCCTTGTCCGCACCCCCTCCAACCCCTTTGCCCTGTTACCTTCCCACCTCCTTCGAACTCTGACCAGGTCAGCGCACAGTAAACTCTCCTAGGTCACATAAGATTGGGAGTGAGAATGTGCCTTCTGAACTTTCCCCCATTTTGGGTGAGTCAGGACTTTGCCCTCTCTGGGCCTCAATTTTGTTCATCTTTAAAATAAGAGTGCTAATAATTTCACTACTTCACAAGGTTTTGGGTAAAAAAAGTGCTTTGTAAACCCTAAAACACTGTAGAAATGTGAATTATATTGAGGATAAATAACAATAGCAGATGTTTCTGTAGTGTTTGCTGAGAGCTTTATAAATATCAGCACCACAACTCTGGCAGGGAGTAGGTGCTTTTATTATGCCCATTTTTACAGAGGAGGAAACTGAGGCTGAGAGACATTAAGAGATTTGCCCAGGTCCACACAGCTAGTAGAGTGCCTAAAGCAGGATTTGAACCCAGGTTTTCCTGACTCAAAATCCAGTACCCAGAATGCCATGGTACCTTTCAATATCCCTGAAACAAGGATACAGAGGTTACCTAGCCCTGTCCTGGAAAAACTGGAGTCTAGAAGGAGGGAGACTGAAAAATGGTGGTGGATGGCACACTGCGGTCTCACACTTATCTCCTCTCCCTCTCTCTCTCTCTCTCTCTCTCTCTCTCTCTCTCTCTCTCTCTCTGTTCAGCCCACCCAAGCTGGACGGGTCTATCTGCTCCACCCTCCAGCCTCTAGCCTTCCAGCCTTTGTTCATAGAAATACACGGGAGAAGCACAGACCAGTCAAATGATTCGATCAGGGTCACACAGCCAATAAACGCCTCTGGTAGAATTTGCTTGTTTTTTAAATTTTTAACATTTTTATTCAAAGTTTTGAGTTCCAAATTCTATCCCTCCCTGCCCCCTCCCTGAGACAGTGAGCAATCAGATATAGGTTATACATGTGCAATCACGTAGAACATTTCCGTGTTAGTCATTTTGTACAACAAGACTCAAATGAAAGAAAAAAAATGAAAAGAAGGAAGTAAGAAATATCAGTTCTTTCTCTGGAGGTGTAAAGTATGCTTCATCATGAGTGCTTTGGGATCGTCTTGGGTCACTGTGTTGCTGAGAAGAGCCCAGGCATTCACAGTTCTGCATCGAACAATATTGCTGTTTTCCGTGGAACTTGAAACCAGATCTTCCTTTTTCAGATTCCAGGGCCCAGTCCACTATACCACCTCTTCCAGGAAGCCTACCATGATTCTCTTCCCCCATCCCCACTGGTAATAACTTCCTTTGGACCTCACAGAGTGACTTGTTTCCCCTTTCCAAGGCAGTTATCAGAGCATACTGGGAAGAGCACTGGTCATATAAGACTGGTTTGTAACCCAGCTCAAATATTTACTTGCTTTGTGATTACAGACAAATCAGACAAATGTAGACAAAGCTTCTCTGAGCTTCGGCCCTCCCATTTATAACATGAGGGTAAACACAATTGTCCTTCTCCTTCACCAGATTTGAGGATAATATTCTGTATGTAAACCTTAAAGCGCTCTGAACATGTGCTAGGTGTTGTTAATGGTCAGACTAGACTGTGGAGGGCAGGGGCTGTGTCTCCTCTAAACTCAATATCTCCCTAGCATTAGGCAGCTAATCAGCGTTTGTTCAAGTAGAACTTAGAAACAGAACCAAGCAGCCGCCCAAAGACAGTTGTGGCATGGAAAATGAGGGGCCCTAGGCCACAGCACAGGGAGAATGGGGGCCCTTGGAGAGGCCCCTCCCTTGTTGAAAGGCTTTTTTTTTTTTAACCTTCCCCTGTGGGCTCCCTGAGTTCAGGGGCACTGTGTCCTCCTGCGCTAATGCTTTGGGATTGGGCTGGGCTCTCATCAGATTGTCTGCAATGATCTTGGCTTGGGTGGTTTGTCTTTTTTTTAACATGTACCTTGGAGAGATAGAGAGAAAGAGAGAGAGAGAGAGAGAGAGAGAGAGAGAGAGAGAGAGAGAGAGAGTGTGTGTGTGTGTGTCTTGGTCAACAAATACCCTGTATTTGAGTTCCAGGTCAGCTGTATGTATGTTGGCTTCTCTTCAGGCTGGCTGGAAATACGTTTCAGCGCTCAGCATCCAGCCTCTCTGAGACAGGTCCTCACTGTCCTGGGTCTGTTCCCCTGGAGCCTCGTAAGGGGAGGGGCGGTAATTACAGGCTCAGGTGCCAAGTGGCCCCATCAGCAGCCGTTGTGGGCTGCCGAAGCTTATTCATGAATATGGGGGGGTGGGGTATGGGAGGGACAAACCTCCTCATTTAGGCACAGTTCTCCCTTCTTCCCTGCACAAAATAGCAGCAAACATCAGCAGATCTTAGCAACCAGGATCCCCAAATGAAGGACTTTTTGTGCCCGAGAGGAGGGAGGGAGTGTGTGAGTGTGTGTGTGTGTGTGTGTGTGAGAGAGAGAGAGAGACAGAGAGAGAGAGAGAGAGAGAGAGAGAGAGAGAGAGAGAGAGAGTGTGTGTGTGTGTGTGTTTCTTTTGCCCCCGTATGGATATTTTTTTTTTTGAGATGCCACGTGTATTTTTAGCCCAGGTTAGAGAAGCTTTCTCTGTTCTTCTTGGAGGAAAGGGAGGAGAGAGAGAGAGAAAGTATGCTGGGGAAGGGAGGGTCATGCAAGCCACACATGTGAAGATATAAAAAGCCCCATTCTCCACTTTGGCTGAGATGCCAGATCCAGTCTGAGGGCTGCAGTGGGCAGGAGAGGCCTGAAGCCAGGCAGTAGGTAGGAAGGTAGGTGTAGACTGTTGAGTCCCAGATACAAGGGTGCTCCTGCGCCTGGGGCAGCAGCTGCAGGCACCTTCATTCCTTGGCTCTTGCCCACTACACATTTGAGGCCTGAAGGCCCCATAGGCTGTTGAGACCAGAGGTGAAAGGGAAATTCCCATCTTTGGTAGAAACTTTAACTGGATTGTTTTGAACTGAATGTCACCCGAGGCATTTATTTTGGAGACACAGTGCAGTGGAAAGAACCCCAGATTTGGGGTCAGAGAGGTAGATTTTGGCGCAGTGTATAAGGGAAGGCTTCCTAACTAACCATCAAGCTGTCCAGAGGTTGAGTGGGCTGCCTTGGGAGAGGTAATGAGTTCCCCGTCTCTTGAGGTCTTCAGCCACATGGCTTGGGGTAGGGAAGAGACTAGTGGAACACGAGGCCTACAGCGTTCCAACTCTGTGAAGTCACACTCCCTTCCAATTCCTACCACTTATTCCCTATGCGATTTTGGACCTACCCTTTACCCTCTCTGGCCCTCAGTTTCCCTCTCCACACACAAAAAAAAAAAAGTGTAGGGAAGGCTAGACTCAGTCATCTCTAAGGTTCTCTCCAGTTGTAATGCCTAGTATCTGATGTTTTTCAAGAGGGCACAGATATTCAGGGAACTCCCAGCCACTCCATTCCACCTCCACCCCCCAAACAAAAGAAGAGCGTTTAGACTAGCGCTTGACAGACTTGGGATGGATTGAGGAGCTCTGCCTCCTCAATAGCTTCAGCTGTTGGACAAAAGACTAGATTTTCTTAGGCTCACTTTCCTAACCACCTCACGCCTGGACGGTTGCAATAGCCTGCTGGCAGGTCTGTCCGCCACAAGTCTCTCTCCACTCCGGTCCATCCGCCACTCAGCAGGTGTGACATTCCAGTACATTCCAGTGGCTCCTTCTTACCTCCAGAATCAAATAAAAAATCCTCTGTTTGGCATTCAAAGCCCTTCAGAGCACGCACACACACACGCACGCGCGCGCACACACACACACACACACACACACACACCCCTTCCCAGTCTTCTCACACTCTGCTCGCATCCATGTACTCAATGACACCACCCCCCTCCTTGCTGTTCCTCGCACCAGACATTCCACAGGCCCCTATCCCTTCCTTCAAGTCCCAGCTAAAACCCTGCCTTCTACACAGTTTCTTCTAGTCCCCTCCCTGTGGATTGTCTCCCATTGATGCCGCGTCCCTCTTGTTTGTACATGGCTGTTTGCACATGTTTCTGAGAATGGATATGAAAACATTTTGGGGGCTAAAATGCAGAGCTCTGTATGCACTGATTATCTCTTCATATACAATTTACCCCTAGCTGTGCCAGAGCAACCAGCGGAGCCCGACCTTCCTCACCTGCCTCTCCATGGTGAGTAAGGCTTTACAGCAGACGGGTAGAAAGGAATGATTGACACCCCCTTACCCCTTTGACAGACTTTATGAAGTTCTCTTCTCTAACTCCCATAATATGGATTTCTGCCCCACCCTCTATTAGGTTTAGTTTTGGGGGAGTGGAAGGAAAGAAGGGCAGGTAGGTGGCCCAGTGGATAGAGCTCCAGGCCTGGAGTCAGGTAGGCTGCATCTTCGTGAGTTCAAATCTGACTTCAGATACTTATTAGCTCTGTGACCCTGGGCAAGTCACTGAAACCTGTTTGCCTCAGTTTCCTCATCTGTAAAATGAGCTGGAGAAGAAAATGGCAAACCACTCCAGTATCTTTGCCAAGGAAACTCCAAATGGGGTCATAAAGAGTTGGACACGATTGAAAAACTACTGAAACAACAGCAAAGGAAAGAATAGATCAAGCCCTGCCTGTTGGGAACTCACAGTCCAGTAGTGGAATCAGCCAGCATTTAGTAAGTGCCTACTGTATGCAGGGCACTGTCCCAGGTGCTGGGGCTACAAAGATGAATTAAATAACCCCTACTTTCAATGAGCCTACATTGTAATGGGGGAGACAAGGATATAGCAGAAAAAATTTTTTTAAAAGAAATACAAATAAATGTAACTTAGTTAAACGTGATTTGGGAGGAAAGAGCACTAGCAGACACCATCCCAGATGACTGTAATATACAACATCACAAGCGAAGTGCGTTAAAAACAAGTGTGAACAAGGTGACTGGAAAGCAGGTGGGGGTGAGCCTTTCTCCTAATCGGGAGGAAGAGCTGGGCCCTTCCCTTCTTGCCTGCCCTGGGATTACCAGAGCCAAGTTACTTTCAGCAGCCAGCCTCAGATCTCAGTGGCTGTCCAGCTGTCTTCTCCCACCACAGGAAAGAAGCAAAATCATCTCTCTCCCCAAATTGTATCTGTTTATTCAGGGTCTGCAGCACCTTTAAAGAAGCGATGTTACGGCCAATTACATCGCCCTTTCGGTCCAGGCCTCCATTAGGCCCATTATACAATTAGACTGGATTCCGGCTCGGGCAGAATGACGAGGCCTGTCCTAATTATTCAACGAATGTTCAGCCTGTTAATTATTCCAAGTGCAGTGCCCAGTTTTAATTGGTCATTTAAGTAAAGATGGGTGGTCACAGCCTTTCCCCCAGTAAGTAAATGATCAGTGGATGGGGAGGGAGTACATGTCAAGTGAAGGACCCTGGAAAGAGCTGGTACTGGTCAGTCTGCTTTTGTTGAGGGGTGTACATGGTCCCAAGACCCGTTCACCCTATAGCACTGACAAATTTTTTTCCCTTTCTGCTCTTTCACGCCCCTATGCTTCCCCTCTTCCCACCTCCCCCATTACTACTCCACATACACATAAATACGTGCACACCTGTTTTTCACCAACAAGCTTATTTCCTTGTCAGTGATTTATGGTCCCTAGCCAATGCTGGTTTGTGCATTTTTTAAAGGGTGAAAATGAATTGCCTCCTTTTCTTTAAACAAACAAACAAAAAAAAAAACCCACCTCTGCCCCTGTCAACAGCATGCCTGATTTTCATAGGAATTTCAGGAGATTTGGAGCTGAAATGGACATTAGCCATCTTCTAATCCAACCCCCACCCATCTTACAGAGGAGGAAACTGAGGCTCAGGGAAAGAAAGGGGCTTTTGCCCAAGGTCAGATAGGGTTGATGATATTTTGGGGGTAGGGGGAGATGTGTGACAATGGAATAGATTGTGTTTAAACTACTTTTGTAAGACAGGAAGAAAATACTGTTTTAGAATCAGTTAGAACTTCAGACCCTCTGAAGGCATCAGCTCTAACATGGACCTGAGTAATGGTCATCTCCATTTAAAGGCCTCCTGTGATGAAGGTAGTGGTAGGACAGCTGATTAGATCCTGAGGTCTTAAGCTGGGATGAACCTGAGAGAGTGTCTATCCCAGCCTCTCCATTTTGCATATAGGAAATGGAGTTCAACAGAATCCAGATTTGAACGCTGGTCACCAATGGAAAGGGGGAGACTGTATTTGGAATTAGAGAATTGTTGTTTGGGTCCTAGCTTAGCCATATTACTTGTGTGACCCTGAGCAAATCACTTGACCTCTTGGGCCCTCAGCTCATCTTCTCTAAAAATGAGGGTGTCAGACTGAATGACCCAGTGACCTCAGAATCTTCTGGCCGCACACTGCCTGGCAAGGAGTCCTTCTGGCTTCTGAGTATCTCTGGTGTCAGAGAGAGCCCAGGGCAGATATGTTGTGTGTCTGACCTCCCAGTGGGCTCCATCCTTAGAACCCTGGGAGGGAGGAAAGGAAGGGGGGATCTGGGGGAGGCCGGCTGCCCGAGGTGGGTGGCAGAGTTTATGTTCTCTGTCCATCCATCCCCTGTCCCTCCCCCACCCCCACATGCCCAGTAACGGCTCAACACACAAAGCGGCAATCGGAGGGAAATGGGCCCTTGGACAAAACCAGGAACAAATTAGAAATCTACAGCGGAAGCCAAAGGCAGTACCATGATGGAGAAGAAAAAGAAGACACACAAAAGACTCATAGAGTGGAGACAGGGTCTGTCTGGGGGTCCTAGGAGGGGAGGGCAGACCAGGTGCTCAGAGCCCTAGCAGTTGGCCCTTTGCCCCATTCCCTACCACCCCTCAAAATGTTGGCCAGCCCCCAGGGCCACCCCACTCCAGCTGAATTTCCTCCGCCTCTGTTTCCAGCAAGGCCCTGGGAAGGTGGCCTTGGATGGAAGTCGCCTCTGGCTGCCCTGGGACAGGTGGTTCTGGCTGTGTGGGATGCCTTTGGCCAGGAGAGTTCAGGCCCCCGGAGTAGGAGAGACTTCAGGCCAAGATGCTTAGAAATCGGCAGTCCCAAGGGCCTTGGGGCTTCTGACCCCTGTGCCCACTATGGACAGATAATCATGTTTATGAGAGAACTGAATTTGAAGTCAGGAGGCCTGGGTTGAAGTCCCCATCTATGATCCTGAGGAGCTGGGGAACTTTGTTACTAAATTACTTGTGAGCCTCAGTTTCCTCATCTGAAAAGTGGGGATATTTGTCCTACCTATTTCTCACGGTGGTTGTGAGGAAAGTGCTCTGTAAACAAACTTTAAAAGCTCTGTTCAAATGGGCATAGCTGTTATTGCTGTTATTACAAATAGAAATGAACACAGTGGATAGAGAGCCAGCCCTGGAATCAGGAAGACTTGAGTTCAAATCTGGTCTCAGACACTTAATAGCTGTGTGACCCTGGATAAGTCACTTAAACCTGTTTACCTCAGTTCCCTCATCTGTAAAATGAGCTGGAGAACGTAATGACAAACCACTCCAGTATCTCTGCCAAGAAAAATCCAAATGGGTTCACGGAGCGTCAGACATGACTGAAATGACTGAAAAAAATAACAAAAAGTGCTATTAGGTAGAGTCATGGAAAGAGTGCAAGAGTCAGAGTCAGGAAGACCAGAGTTCAAATCCTGCTTCACATACTTACTAGCTATGTGAGCTTAGGTCACTTCACCCCTCTGGGCCTCAGTTTCCTTATCTATAAAACAAGAGGGTAGAAGTCACTCTCTAAGGTCCCTTCTGGTTTTAAGTGTGATGCTGGTGGAGGTAGAGGCATGAGTCTAGTTAGCATCTTGTCTTGACATCTCACCTTGTTCTCAAGAGTGTGTGTTTTTAAATTCTTTGCAATTAACAAGCATTTATTTTCTCTCCCTCCCACCCCGGTGGGGGAAAAAAAAGTACAAAACCCTTATAACAAATATGCATAGGCTAGCAAAATAAATTTCCATGCTGGTATGCTTAAATATATATGTGTGTCATTTCCGTATCTCACATTCTGTAGCCTGAGCCCATCTCTTTGGGCCAGGAGGTGGCTAGCAGGTTTCATTATTAGGCCCCTTGGGTCACGGTTGGTTATTGCCATTGATTTAAACTCTTCAAACGTGACTCTATTTTAAACTGATTGAAACACCTTGGAAGGATCGAGCTGCCAGCCGTGGCCCTGCCCCCCACCCTGATAGAGGCAGCCAAGGAAAGTGTGTGGAGACATACGGGGATTTGCTGGCAGCCAGTGCTACCCAGGCAGGTGAACTCAGGGCCCGGGTATCCTAGTGATCTTTGGCACGGGAACCACATTGGGCACCAGGCCTTCCCAGTACCTGCCAGAGGGCAGCTGGTCTCTTTCCCCAGCCCCACCTTCACCTGCCCTGGTATTGTTCTTTCCTCCATGGGGCTAAGATTTGTGACTCCAGAGAGACACTAATAGCCAGGCCCTGATTTTCTCTGGAGTAGAGTTTCAGGAGCTGGAGAATAGGAGTCTTATAATTAGCCCAGTTAATTTTCCTTTTGTTTGTAGCTATATCACAATGGTGACAGTTCTGGGACCACAGAATGTAGAGCTTGGGGGGGGGTGCACCTTAGTGGTCATCTGATTTACCACCAGCCCACTTTACAGAGGAGGGGATGAGTAGTAGGGCAAGAATTTGACCCATGTCTTCTGATACCAAATCCTAGGTTCTCTTCACTACACTATGACACCTTCACCTGAGTTGTTAATGTTCTCTGGAAGGACAAGAATATTTGGCACACAGTAGGTGCCCAATAATTTTTTTTTAATGATGGCGTATGCTATCAAAAACCAAACCACCAGGCAGCTAGGTGGCACAGTGGATAGAACACCGGCCCTGGAGTCAGGAGGACCTGAGTTCAAATCCAGTCTCAGATCGGATACTTGACACTTACCAGCTGTGTGACCCTGGGCAAGTCACTTAACCTCAATTGCCTTGAAAAAACCAAAGGAATAAAAACAACCGCCAATTTAGTCCAATCTTTTCATTTTACAGCAAGGGAAACTGAGGCCCTCCAAAAGAGAACTAAATATTTAATATTTCTGAGCCTCTCTCTGTGTGCTTGATCCTTGGCTCTGCTCAGACCTGGGCCTTGGATGCTAGATTTCCTCAGTTTCTTCACCTGTCAAATGAGATTGGACTCAG